CATGAGGATTGATGGAAGTTGTTGTCTTATTTGTTTATGCTGTTTATGCTATTAAAATGATTATTTTAGCTACTGTATGCATATGAGCCAATGTATGAAATATATGTATGTGTTACTCTAACTGTTGTTTTAGCTGCTAGATTTGTCACCGATTCAATTGGAATGCGTGTTCTCTTTGATGCAGTTATTGTTGGAGTTTATATATATAAATTATGTTTATTTTGTGAGGTGTGAATTGTATTTCAATTACTATTATTTTTTAGATGATTACAGTACATGTTTTTAGGTGTGAACTATCATGGTTTATCATGGTGATAAATAAAGGAAAAAAATAGGTCAAGAAATATTGAATAATAGAATGAGAACACAAAATAAAAGAATACATGCTAGAATGCTATCCATGTATGATATGTAAAACTAACATTATATGTTACTTTTATAGTTTATATATGCGATAATGTACTTATGTTGAAAGCTGAATAACTTGTAAAAGAGACGTAAACAACATTGAATTTTTTCTATATAAAGAGGAATGTTTGTAAGTCAACTTTCAAAGAACTATTTTACTTCATAACAAACCTCTCAAACTTCAACTGCATTTTATATAAGCAAGTGGAACACTCTGTTTTTGTTAGCTTTACAGGTATGAAAAAACTTATGTTGCACCAACTTTTTTATAGTTTTTTTATTGAATGATATTTAAATTATTTAAATATTTTTATTAACAATATATAATTTTTTTTTTGTTTACATTCAATTGAAGTTATGGATGATTCATGGTTTAATGACATATTTAATGGGGATTTCGATGGTAATTATGATAATATAATGAACCGTATTGTAAACCATATTAATTATCCTAGTTGTGAAGGTAGTGGTGCCTCAATTGCTGGTCCCAGAGATGACGGTGATGGAAATGACGCTGATGAAAATAATAATAATGATGATAACAGTGATGATGACAATGAATTTGTTTTAAAGAGGCATTTTGATATGAAAAAAAATAATTATATGCATAGCTGGAGCTATAAACATGTATTATATTAGTTACATGTATTAATTATATGTATAAAGAATCATTTATAGTTTTGTATAACACAGGAATGCATTGGTTGATAGAGGTTTTAAGAGGTAATTGAAACAAAGTGTTAACATGTTCAGGATGGACACAACCACTTTGTTGAGTTTGTGTACTAAATTAGAAATGCATTATAGCTTAAAACCATAAAAAAAATGAGCGTTATTGAAAAGGTGACAATGTTTCTATTTACAATAGCAGTTGGCGTCAAATAAACAAGTGCAAGAAAGATTTCATCATTAAAGTGAAACTATTAATAGATGTTTTAAAAAAATACTTAAATTATTATGTTTGTTTGCTGTGAAAGTCATAAAACTAGTAAATCCATAATTTACGAGCACACCAAGAGAAATTGCTATGAATCTAAGATGTTACATTTCAAGGTAAGATGAATTTTTGTTTAATTAAATAGTTTAATTAAGTTGTTTAAATGAGTATGAAATATGTTATAAATGTTTATGAGTACTTAATGTTTTTGTGGCTCGTAGAATTGTGTCGGTGCAATTGATGAAACACATGTTCGTGCCTACTTATTATTTGAAAATTAAATTTCATTTATTGGAAGAAAAGGTGTACCAACACAAAATGTCACGATCACTTGTAATTTTGACATGCAATTCATGTTCGTGTAGGTAGGATGAGAAAGCAATGCACACGATAAGCGTATTTTTCTTGAGATTATTGACAATAGCAATATAAAATTTTCAAAACCTCCAGAAGGTTGTGATTTTGACTAAATTAAAGATTTGGTACTTGAAGGAATATAATTTTTTTCTAAATTTTTGTTTAAAATTACCATGTTATTATTATTTGCAGGAAAATACTATTTGATTGATGTTAGATATCCAAATAAGTAAGGGTATTTGAGTCCCTGCAAAGGCAAGAGGTATCACTTCAAAGAATTTAGGCGTCGTGGATAACCAAGTGGTCGGAAATAAATGTTTAATCGTGCACACTTATCACTACGTAATGTGATCGAATGTTCTTTTACGGTATGGAAACATAGGTGGAAAATTTTGCAAAACATGCCTGCTTATCCATACAAAACACAAGTTGAGATTGTAGTTGTCTCAATAGCACTACATAACTATATTAGAAAGAGATCGCAAGATGATGCGGTTTTTTCTGAGTATGATCGCAATCTCAATTTAATCCCATATGACTTTTTACCTGATATTGTTCATTGCTCGGTCGTTCAAGGATCACAGAAGCCTTCATGTATGGATTTTATACGAGATGAAATTGCAAATAGTTTGATAAAATAATAAAGGAATACATTAATATATATAAGGATTTTTCATTTTGTTATGTAATCATAATTACAAAACACCTATGTTTTGCAATTATATATGTGTGTGTATGTTCTTTTAAGTAATTCTAAAATCAAATCTAAAACATAAAGCATATTAATCATATACAAGAAACTATTTTTTTACCATATTTTTAACCAAACACAAAACTGTTTTTTTTTTACCACAATTTTAACTATAGTTTTAACCAAACACAAGAAACTACTTTTTTTCAAAGCACAACTACAACCATAATTTTAATCAAACATCAATTTTTTTTAAATAAACCTCATAAAAGTATTTTTTATTAAACTGATTTTTTCAAATCATAACTACAAAAGCTACCATAATACTAAACATGTTCTAAAAGATAAAAATATTACATATAGATGTCAAACTTAATGTTATTTATCATTGCGGTATTTAAATCCGTGCTTAGACACGTTTTAAAAATATATATGACTGAAAAATATTGATTTAATATTTTTTTAATGTAAAATTATCTTGCAAAAAGAAACTTTATTTTCTTGAGTTTGCATGTGGCAAGGAAAAGAATATAATATAAAATTACAATTCTCACTTTTTGGAAACACCATTTGATGAAAGAATAGAATTCCTCCTTTTGGAAGCCAAGTATACGAAGAATAATAGCATAGTGTTATATGTAATTAATTGAAGGCGAAAAGGCAAATGTGAAAAGCAAAAGAACGAATCTTAAAGGCATGTGTGCTCCTCTCATTGTCATTTATCATGGAGATCTCTAGAATATAAATTATCAAATAAAACGGTGCCATTTTTCTTTCCGATGCATGCCTTACCAACCTATCATATTCACCCCGTTTCCCCCTCCTCCTTTTCTTATTAACTCATAGCCCCTTGTGTTTCCTTTACCATCACAACTACCATTTATCAATTACCACATCCCTATCACTTGATTTGTGCACACGTAATGATATTGGAGTACTTTCTTTGTAAGAGATTATTATCTCAGATTTTTTTTTTGCATTTAATGACCAATTGATTAATTGGACCCACCTCTTGCATTATGTCTTGGGCATCGCTTGTTTCTTTTGACTCAATAATTGAGTTGCTGAGTTAGATTGTATAGAAGAAGAAGAAGACGAAGAAGAAATCTCTCTTGTGTCTCCCCCAATTTTCTTGGTGATTAATCCTACCCTGTTTACTAGCTTTAATTATATGACACACAGAAGTTCTCTTGGGTTTGACTCTGAAGAACTTCTTCCCTCGAATCACTAATACTGATAAGAAAAAAGCCCACGAGACCATGACTCTGAAGATCATTTGTGGCTACTAATTCATTAATAAACAATCCCTCTTCCATTCGTTTTGATTCGAATACATGTTAGATAGAGATCCTAAGGATTTAATCTAAAATGCGGTTTTAAAACGAGAAAAAATAAGCACAGAGTGTGATATTACTGCAGATTCATAACAACAACATGGCTATAAGATACCATGCCAGAGACCAGAACTAGGCAGTTAAACCACAGATCACCAAAGGCTAAAGGCCCCAAAACCAAGCCAGTTGTTTTCCGAATCAACATGGGTGATTTTGTATGATCACAGTCATTCCTTGCCTCCCAATTAATACGGCTCGTTGCAAACCCAACTGAAATGTCCACCATTTACTTCAATTCATAAATGGCCTGGCCTGATAATATGACCTCCATCGACTAGTTTAATTCAACAGTGGATCCCACTTCATAACGTCCCTTTTTCTTAAGATAAGTTTAGGGGCACCATTTTCTTTTAACAATTATGAAAACTAAAATTTGTCAAACTGCACTCGTCATTATCACAATTAACAGTAGGTCCCTGGCACCACAGGCAGTGCACTGTATCAAGAACAGTCTCGGCCAACAAAAGTTGAACAGGAATTTTTAAACCCAGGGCGTTTCTGGCATCACAGCAAAAGTCCCACCATCCGGTATAGAAAATTCTGAATTACAGAGACAAATAAAAAATTTGAAAAATTAACAAGCCCTTCAATGATTAAAGGTCAATGGGATCCATTTTAAGGCCAATCCTAGCAATTTCACGTCAAATCTTTGCCACCAGGCACTGATCACAGAAACACCCTCCAAAAAGCAAAGCTGATATTTTCTTGGTACACCCATAAAACAACAACGAAGGTATAATAAAGAAATAAATAATAAATACCCACGTAGCTGTGATTCACCAATTACAGAAGGAATGAATATTGGGATAAAAAGGAAAAAAAAAGCTGACCTCCATGTGCCGGCTTTTAACTAAATTTAGCTCGACAGACAAGAACCCGCTAATCATCACCGTCGTCTCTATGGGCAGCTGTTGATGAATTCCAGTAATAATATTTATTATCTCTTCCTGTAGCACTATAATGTATATCTTTCTGTGCCATCTTCGTTATTACTGCTAGAGAACCGAGTTACACCTTCTAGCCAACTAACCCTAGCTACCACCCCACATTGGCTTAAAAAAGAAAAAAGAAAAAAAAAGAAGACCTCAAAGATTCCAGTCCATAGCTAAAAAGAAGAAAAGCAAGAAAATAAAATTAATTACTAGTATTAAAAATAAAAAAAAGAAACAACTTCTTGACATTGACAAGCAGATCCCACAGAAATAATTAATAAATATTCACCATACCATACAAACCATCTACCATAAAACCCTTAAGAGAATTCACCTTCTCTTTTGCCTTGATGATATTTTTTTTTCTCCTATTTTTTTAGCCCCTATATTTTTTCAAGGAGCTGTAATATTGAGAGTTAGAAAGGAAAGAAAGCGAGTCCTATGCTAGGGGACTCAAGTAGTGTGCTAGCAACCACAACAACAACCCTTGCTGCTAGTGGTGGTGGAGGAGTAGGTAACAGGGAAGCTCCTCCGTTAACCGGTGGCCATCATGAAGGCAGAAACATTGATGTTGGAGGTGAAGATGATAAAGGAGTTATTGAAGGTCACCGGGGTATCGGAGGTAACCGGTGGCCAAGACAAGAGACTATGGCACTCTTAAAAATACGGTCCGATATGGATGTTGCGTTTCGTGATGCTAGTGCTAAAGGCCCTTTATGGGAGGATGTTTCCAGGTGATCATTAAAATAATTACAATTTTAATTTTTAATTTTTAATTTTTTGTGATGAGGGGGAACTATACACGTTGGCCTTTTTTTTTTTTTTTTTTTTTTTTGATTTCGTTGATAGAGGTCTGTGCTTCGTTTTTTTTTGTTGTTCTTTTTTCCTATTTTGGTTAGTTTTCTTTTTGTAGTTCTTTGCAGTTTAAATCTTGAAGACTGTATTTGTGATTTTTTTTTTGGCTTCGTTTTAGTGCACACTGCAATAACAATTAAGTGTTTCAGAATTTAAATTTCTGGCACTTGTAAATTCGATCGATTTATGCTGTTGTTATGCTGTTTTAATTTTCATGTTTATTTTATGTGAGAATATCCTTCAAGATCTTTTCTTTTTAATTACTGAATTCAAGAAGGGATAAAACAAGAATTGGAGTTATATATGCTTTTATTGCAACTGTTGTTATATACCAGGAAGCTAGCAGAGCTTGGTTATAATCGAAGTGCCAAGAAGTGCAAAGAGAAATTCGAGAACGTGTACAAGTACCACAAGAGAACCAAAGATGGCCGAAGTGGTAAACAAGAAGGCAAGACTTACAGGTTTTTTGATCAATTAGAAGCTTTCGAAAGTCACCCCCCTTCACTATCATCGCCGCTGCCGCTGCCGCCACAACCAACCAAGCCTCATATTCCACCAGCCAACACATTAGCAATGCCTGTGGTTAATCCCTCTCCTAATGTTGTTGGGACTTCTCACAATACTGTTCCATCAACAGCAGCTGCCACCCTTGCTACAGATTACACGTCTCAAGGCATTGTCACTTCAGCTATAAATCTTGCAGTTCCTCCATTTCCTTCAACAGACCCTACAATCTCCCCCCCGTCACAAGCAACAAACCCTACAAATCATCCTCAAACTAATATTCCATCTTCTTTTCCAAACTTTTCCTCAGATCTTAACTCCAATTTCACTTCTTCATCAACATCCTCGGACGTGGAACTGCAAGGGCGTCGTAAGAGGAAAAGGAAATGGAAGGACTTTTTTGAAAGGCTAATGACCGAAGTGATCCAGAAGCAAGAGGAGACGCAGAATAAGTTCTTGGAAGCAATTGAGAAACGCGAACATGAAAGAATGGTCAGAGAAGAGTCCTGGAGAATGCAAGAAATGGCCAGAATCAATAGAGAGCGCGAGACCTCAGCCCAGGAAAGATCCACGGCTGCAATTAAAGGTGCTGCAGTAATGGCATTTTTGCAAAAATTATCTGAACAACAAAATCCGGGTCAAGTACAAAATAATCCACCCCCAACACAGCCGCCGCCGCCGCCACCAGCGCTCCCTCCGATATCACAGCAAACACCAACACCTACGACTCCACCGCCACTGCCAGAGGCACAAGTGCCGCCACCACAACCGGTGGCTAATCTGGACATAATGAAATCAGATAATGGGGATCAGAATTTTATGTCAGCAAGCTCTTCAAGATGGCCTAAAGTAGAAGTTGAAGCTTTGATCGGGCTAAGGACTAATCTTGATTGCAAGTACCAAGAAAATGGACCCAAAGGGCCACTATGGGAGGAGATCTCAGCTGGAATGAGAAAGCTTGGTTACAATCGCAATGCAAAACGATGCAAAGAGAAGTGGGAGAATATCAATAAGTACTTCAAGAAAGTGAAAGAGAGTAACAAGAAAAGGCCTGAGGATTCGAAAACATGTCCGTATTTTCACCAACTTGATGCTTTATACAAGGAGAAAAACAAGATTGATGGTCCGTCCAATAGTACTCATCATATGAAACCTCAAAATTTAGTGCCTTTGACGGTACTCCCTGAGCAACAATGGCCTCCCCCTCAACAAGAACATAGACCTGATTCAGTGATGGAGGATTTAGAAAGTGATGATCATCAAAATCAGGAGGACGAAGATGACAAGTTTGTGGATGATGAAGATGAAGATGAAGATGAAGCTAGTGGCTATGAAATTGTAGCAAACAAACAAACATCAATGAACACAGCCAGGTGAGAGTTTTAAGTCCACAGAAGCAAATTAACTCTTTGGGTATTCAGAGGAATACCGGCAAGAGCGGCGGATTCTGGCG